TGCATCACGTGCACGAACGACATGAGCAGCCCGGACGTCGCGCCGAGCGCTGCGTGCTTGGCGGCGAAGGAGTGCGACAGCTCTTCGAGCCGCTTCATGGGTGCGAGGTACGAGGGGGTGTCGGCGTGCAGGAAGACCGCGCCGCCGCCGAGCCCGCCGACGGCGGGCGGCAGCTGCGCCTGCAGCATGCACTGCAGCACGAGCTGCGTCTTGCCCGTCCCCGCCGCACCGGCAATCTCGGTGAGGCCGTGCGCGTCGAAGCCGCCGCCGAGGCACGCGTCGATGCGTGCGCAGCCAGTGGAGAGGCGACGCGCGTGGCGAGGATCGCGCTCGAGGAAGAGGGCAGACTGCGGCGGTCGGGATGCCATTGAGCAAGAGCGGGAGAGACGCAACAAACCGCGATCGCGGGCGAGCGGTCGGGATCCCTACTGGAAGTACCTCTTCCGTGGCCTCGACAGCGGCGCGCCGCCCTCGGTCTTCTAATTAGTCGCGCGCCGATCTAACGATATATTGGTAGCTGTTTTTCGAGCGACCCAAACGAAGCTGACTCAGAAAGCGCGCACACACGCAAACACGCTTCAACGCGGACCCCCCGCAGACACCCAAGAGAATACTGTAAAGCCGTAGTTACTGTGTTCCCCACTCTAACTAAGCATGCGCGACGCCGACTTCGACACGAAGCCTTGGCAGCCCGGGCAGGCCGTGTTTATCGGCTCCATACCGCGGCTCGTCTCGACCTCGCTGTCGTCGCTGAGCCAAGTGTGCAGGCAGCGGTAGTGGAAGAGGCTCTGGCAGCAGCGTGTGGCGCCCCAGCCATTAGGGTCGCGAGACTGCAGACGCGCCTCGGGGTGTGCGCTGAGGTCGTCCAAGCAAATAACGCACTCGAGGGCCTCCTCCTCTGCTGCTGTAGCCGCGGACACGCCCGCAACTGCGGCAGCCGCTTCCACCTCCATCTCCGACTCCTCCTCGCTGTCGCTCTCCGCCTCCACCTCCACCTCCACCTCGTCCCATGGCGGGGCAGCCCCCGCCGCCGCCTGCGCCGCCGCCGTCGCCGCAGCATCCGCCCTCGCCGCCGGCTCTGCTGCGCGCGCCTGCCACCTCGCCGCCCGCTGCTTGCTCACGGAAGGCGGCGGGTCGGAGAGCAGCGAGAGAGCCGTGGCGTCGGCAATGTCCGTCGGGTCGAAGCTGTCCTCCTCCTCGTAGTAGTAGCTGCTGGCCTCGGAAGGCCCTGCTGCGCCTTGCGGCGGTGCTTGCTGCGGCTGCGGCTCGAGCAGGCGGACGGTCGTGTCCCACAGGTGCCGCGCAAGCGCCAGCGCCGCCTCCTCGGCGGTGGCGAACCAGCCGAGGCTGACCTGCTTGCCGCCAACCATCACCTTTAGCTGGTACTTCTTGCTGCCTTCCCGCTTCGGGTCGTAGCAAACGCCCCTGTAGCTGTTGTTGCTGCTGCTGCTGGTGACCAGCGTAAGGCCCTCCCTCCCCACCTGCCGGACTGCCTCGGCGCCAGCGGCAGAGGAAGGCTCAGGTGGCGGCGGCGGCGGCGGTGGCGCGGTGAGATCGCTGGTGTCCCTGCCCGCCTCCCTGCGGGCGTAGAAGAGCGCCGCCTGCTCGGCGGTGTCGAAGCGTCCTAGGTGGACATCTTTGCCGTTGACCTTCACCCTCAGCTGGTACTTCTTGCTGCCTCGCTCCTTCGGGCAGTAGCGGACGCCCTTGTAGCCGCTGTTGCTGCTGCTGCTGGCGGTGAGGGTGAGGCCCTCCCTCTCCGCCTGCAGTATCGCCTCGGCGCCAGCGGCAGAGGGAGCCGGGCGAGGCTGCAGCAGCTTTGCGGCGTCGGCGCGGCCGTACTCTGAGCGAGCGTAGGCGGTGGCCGCCTCTTCGGCGGTGTCAAAGCGGCCAAGGTGGACACGCTTGCCATCAGCGTGCACCTTCGCTTCGAACTTCTTTTTGCTGCGGCTGTACGTCACGTTCTTGTAGCCAGTCGTGTTCCTCTTGTCGATGGCTGGGATCAACATGAGGCGCTCGGACGCTGTGGCCCGCGACGAGCTCGCGCGAGCGGGCGCCACCATCACCGAATAAAACTCGCTTCGCACAACGCTACCTGTGGGCAGAGATTGGCGCACCAGGCACGGACAGGCAGACGCGCCCGCCGATCTGGCTTGTTTCTTTGTTTTGTTTCAAAAGCCAGTCCGAAGGTTATAATTCTTTTTTCCCTCTTTTTTTGCCCGGCTTCGGATCTTGCGGGCCCACGAACCTTGGCCACGAACATTGGAAAAAGAAATCGAAAAATCGCGAAACCCAAAAACGAAAGGAGGGGGGGAGGGGGGTTGTAGGGGTGTGTGTGTTAGTGTGTAGGGGATGTGGGGGTGGTTGAGGGGGGGTTGAGCAGAGGTTGAGGGGAGGGTCGCGGGAGCCCCCCACCGTGCCCCCCACCGGTCTTCTCTCGCACGGAAATGCTTTTTTCTTCCCATGAGGGGGGGGTTGCCCATCATGCTCATATACGTGATTGGACAATCTACGGCACGGTTCACGTTACGATTCACATTACGACCTCCAGCTGCAGAAGCATATTGCGCGGTGACCTCAAGGGGTACTTCCATCCATATTATTCACTTCATAGTCCACCCCTCTTTGCTGAATCCACAAAAACTGGCAAACAAGAGACTTGTTTTTATCATTTCCCTCTCGTGTACAGTCGGACTATCTTTGTAGGTCAAGTTCAACCTCCTCCTTGCGACGGTTGATCCGAGTCTATTAAGTTCTCCCAACGATCTTATTAGTAGTTGACTCTCGCCACGTATCATTGCGTGTGCGCAATGATAGAGGATGAACCGCCATGCAGGAAAATATGACTCTCTTGGTGCGGCGCCCTCGGCCAGCTGGCCTTTGGTGCCGTAGTTGCACTCCGCCGCGCCGGTGGTGCGACCAGATGCGACCAGGTGTATGAGTGAGGTGGATGGGGTGGCAGGGGAATGCGGGTGACAGGGCTTGGACTGGTCTTGCTCCGCCGCGCCGGGCGCCGGGTGAGAGGGCTTGGACTGGTCTTGTGCCAAGTTGCATAGGCTAAAGCCGCGCCTCCCAGACCTATGAGCCCTGCTGCTCGAGCCGACAACTGGCCAGCTCGAGCAGAGGTGGGGAGCGGTGAGCTTCTATTCCGTCCTTTCCGACTCCGCACCGTCGTACTGCGTGGGTCGACCACAGCTCTCCGCCTGTCCTTACTCCTCTCCGTCGCCCCTCGCGTCCTCTGCGAGGTATTGACCGACATTATTTACATACGTTTTTTTTTTACAAGCAACATGGCCCCGAAGCGGCGAAAGCAACTCCGAGCCGGGGTGGGAGCCGAGCCGCAGCCGGGGTGTATGCTGTAGCAAAGCGGTATGGAGGCAGACGGGGTAAGGCTGGTGGCAGGAGACCAGGGATGAGTCAGTTGTCAGTTTCGAAGCATGCTTTCCCTCTCGTCGGTTCGGGGTTGTTGAGATTGAGATGAGTTGTGAGAGAGAGATGGTGATGCCGGACCTCTTTTTTGTCGTTGTCGGGCGCGTCCTCGTCGGTGGAGCTGCTTCTTCTTTGCATCGCACCGCAATGCCGGCGAGGGGACCAAAATCACCCCGGTTTTGCCCATTTTCGGCCATCCGTCAAAATATCTGAAGATCCCAATATAGGATTCTCCCCAAACCTTGCTCAGCTGATCCAGCCTGGGGGGAAGGCCAGCCCTGGGCAAAGAAACCAGTACCTCATCGGGCTTCCCTGAGCGTCACAGCTCGGTGATCGCGCCAGCCGGACACCACTGCAACGTCCGTTCCGGGCATTTGAACGCGACCTTCGGGGGCAAAGACATGGGCTCTATGGCTCAGACTGGACTCCTCTTGGTCCCTTCTGATGCCCTAGGCCACACCTGGGCCTTACCCGGGGTCCTAGGGGGCGGGCAGGGTTTGACCCCCGAAACTGGCATGAGGCACCACTTGTACCGGCGGCCGCTTGTAACACCGCCCCTGCGCGTGAAATCCACCCGTGACTTTCCTCGTGCGCCTCGACAGGCCCGGCCACGCAGTCGCTCCAGTCGCTCCACTCCGCGCCATGACTGGCGGCGGCTTCGGCCTATCCGCCGGCTGCCGCTTCAAGAGGGCGAGCAGGAGCACCAACGCACAGGAGCCAGATCTTCGCCCGCCCGCGCAGCTTGAGACTACCTCGCTCGACTTCTTTGGCGCCGCCGCCGCCGCTCCCGCTCCGGCCGCCACCGCCGCAGCCTCCGACTCCGCGGCGCCCTCCGGACGACAGCCACGCCGCCGCGGTCGGAAGGGCGCTGCGGCCACCGTTGAGCCTGCGGCCGACGATGAGCCCGCCGCCGCCTCGGCCGCACCCGCCAGCAGCGCCCGAGCGGTCGCTGAGGCAAACCAGCTGCGCAAGGCGCTGCGGATCCACGCGTACGGCAACGACGTGCCTCCCCTGGCGCAGTCCGCGCACCAGCTGTCGGAGGCGCACGGGCTGCGGCCGTACCTCTACCAAAACATGATGACGGCCGGCTACCACGAGCTGACGAGGGTGCAGATGCAGGCAGTGCCCGCGCTGCTCGCCGGCCGAGAGCTCCTCGCGTGTGCGCCGACGGGGTCGGGAAAGACGGCCGCCTTCGTGGTCCCGATGCTGCAGCGGCTCGGCTCCTCGGCGCGGCGGCGCGGCGGCGGCGGCGGCGCGCCGCGCGGCCCTCGCGCCGTGCTGGTTGCGCCGACGCAGGAGCTGGCGAGGCAGACGCACCGCGAGGTGCTCAAGCTGGCAGCGGGCGGGAAGGTGAGCGTGGCGCTGCTGACGCGCAAGATGGTGACCGCGGCGCTCGCGGAGGCGCGCGGCGGCGGCGGCGGCGGCGGCGGCGGCGCGCCCTCCTTGGTCAAGTATGACGTCGTCGTCTCGACACCTCTGAGGCTGGTCGGCCTGGTCGACAGAGGGCTGCTGCCTCTGCAGGTCGCGATAGCACCCTCGCAGCACCTTCGCAGCACCTTCGCAGCACCCTCGCAGCACCCTCGCAGCACCCCGCCTTGCATCCCCTCCCTCCGCCACCCGCCAACCCCGCCTTGCGTCCCCACCCTCCAGCCCCTGCCCCCCAGCCCCCGTCCTGCCGCCCCCGCCGCCCCCGCCGCCCCCGCCGCCCCCGCCGCCCCCGCCGCCCCCGCCGCCCCCGCCGCCCCCGCCGCCAGCGCCGCCAGCGCCGCCAGCGCCGCCAGCGCCGCCAGCGCCGCCAGCGCCGCCAGCGCCGCCAGCGCCGCCAGCGCCGCCCTCCACCGCCGGCCGCAGGAGGTTCGGCTGCTCGTCCTCGACGAGGCCGACAAGCTGCTCGAGCTGGGCTTCCTCGAGCAGGTCGACACGCTGCTCGCCGCCTGCTCGCACGCCGAAGTCAGCCGCGCCCTCTTCTCGGCGACGATGCTCCCCGCCATCGAGTCGCTCGCAGACACGGTGCTGCGGCAGCCGGTGCGGGTGGTGGTGGGCGAGAAGAACGCGGCGGCCGAGACGGTCGAGCAATCCCTCGTCTTCGTCGGCCGCGAGGACGGCAAGATGCTCGCGCTGCGGCAGATGATACGACAGGGCATCCAGCCGCCGGTGCTCATCTTCGTGCAGTCCAAGGCGAGATGACCCGAGATCACCCGAGATCACCCGAGATCAGCCGGTGCTCATCTTTGTGCAGTCCACGGCGCCGCCAAAAAAAAAGGGGGGGGGGGGGTAGCTCCCAGCTCCCTCCGCCGAGACCCTCAGCTCGAGCGCTCGCCGCCGCACAGGAGCGCGCGGTGCAGCTCTTCCATGAGCTCGTGCTGGACGGGCTGCGCGTCGAGGCGATCCACGCAGACCGCTCGCAGGCTCCCGCCCGCCGCCGCCTCCTCCGCCACCCTCCTCCTCCGCCACCCCCTCCGCCACCCTCCTCCTCCGCCACCCTCCTCCTCCGCCACCCCCTCCTCCGCCACCCCCTCCTCCGCCACCCTCACCACCCTCACCGCCCCCACCGCCACCTTCACCACCCTCACCACCCCCACCCCTCCACCGCCACCGTGCCCGCCTCCTCGATCGCCCGCCGCCTCCAAGCTCGCCGCCTCCCTCTCCACCGCCTCCCTCTCCACCGCCTCCCTCCCCTCCGCCTCCCTCTCCACCGCCTCCCCACGCCGAGCCGTCGCAGGCGCAGCGCGACGCGATTGTGGACCAGTTCCGCAAGGGGCAGGTCTGGGTGCTCATCGCCACGGAGTTGATGGCGCGCGGGATGGACTTCGAGGGGTTGCTCTAGGGGCCCTCTAGGACCCCTCTAGGACCCTCCTCGTAGGCGCGCGGGATGGACTTCAAGGGCGTCAAACTGGTGGTCAATTTTGACTTCCCGCAGACGACCGTCTCGTACATCCACCGCATCGGCCGCACCGGCCGCGCAGGCATGCGGGGCAAGGCCGTCACCTTCTTCACCGAGCAGGAAGCGCGGCCCAGTGTGGCCCGACCGCCCCAGCGCACATTCCACGATTGGCCACCCGACGCCCCCGGAGCACACGGCCAACCCCTGGGCAGAGAGATGGAGCGGACCCTGGCAGAGAGATGGAGCGACGGCACCCTCGCGGCAGAGAGGTGGAGTGGGGCGGTCGTTCGTTCACCCGCCTTTCCCCCTCCCCCGGAGCAGGACGTCGAGCAGCTGCGCTCCATCGCAAACGTGATGAAGGCGAGCGGCTGCGGTGTGCCGGACTGGATGCTCCGGCTGCAACCAATGCGCAAGCAAAAGCGAAAGGCGATCGCGGTCAAGCCGCGCTCTCGCAAGGCGGTCGCCAAGCGCGCGTGGAGCGGCGGCGGCGGCGAGGGCGGCGGCGGAGGCGCCAATGGGGTGGCGAAGCGGCCAAAGAAAGCGAGGGCAAAGGCGGACTGAGCCTGTAACTATGGCGCGGCGAGTCCCTGGCGCGGGTGGCGCGTGGCGGTGGTGGCAAAGGTGAGTCTCAGTCCCTCCCCCCAGCGCCAAGGGCACACAAATTGCTCAACCTCCGGCCTCCCCCAAACCTTCCCCCAGCGGAGGTTGCCCTCCATCGAGCGCGCCCTTATGGCGTCCAGGCGTACCGAGCCCGTCTCCGCGCGCGGCGTTTTGGTTTGATTTTTTAGTTTTTACTGCACAAAAGAGTGATGCACGAAAATTGACCACACATGTGGCTGAGCTGCTGGAAAATCGCGCTTTGGCGTCTGGGGCGGGAACGGGGGCGCGGGCCGCTGGGGCGGTGCCGATGGCGCACCGATATATGGGGCGGGTGGCGCGCGGCCGGAGCGGAGAGCGGGTAGCGGATATATCTACGCGCGTGGGCGGACTCGCAAGAAGCAGACGGAGGTCTCTCGGAGGGAAAAACGCTGCATCTGTCGCAGCCAAAACTCAGGCAGGGTGCATGGATTGGATGGGAGATGGGGGGCGGCCTGCAGCCTCCCAGCTCGCAGAGCGACGCAGAGTGCGGCCCGTTAGGTTGTGGACGGCTGGGTTGTGCGGTCAGCGTGCGCAGCGCGACTGCCATCAGGTTGGGGCCGGGAAGCTGCTAAAGTGCACACCGTCCCTCAGGCCGCGGCGACTTCCAGCTCACACCCTTTGCCCTGGTCACCCGTGGAGGCCGCACCGGCGCCGGTGGCGGCGCCTTCTGACCCTGAACGTCTCGGGGCGGGATCGTTCGAGGGTCAATCCCGGTTGACTTGATCGGCGAACAGAGTACAAATGGAGCCGGGTTGCTTCGAGCCGGTGGGCTGGGTGCTGCCGCAGCATCCTCCTGCTGCTCCTGGTCAATGACGTGCGAGAGCGGAGAGCGTGGCGGCATCTGCGGGGAGCGTGGCGGCCGTGCGCTCGCCGGCTCCTCCGTAAGCAGACAACTAGACTCACGATGTGCGTGCATGGACTCAGCCGCGGCGGGCAGAGTCCAGGTGCGGTGCGAACGACGCGCCCCACGAGGTCCCCGAGTGAGGAGGACGAAATCCGGTGTCGCCGAAGATGGCACCTTTCATTCCCCTTGCGACATCCCCGCCGATCTGTATGTACGAGATTTCATTGCAAGTCCCGAAAATCCAAATAAATCAGGTGTGCCCTTTTTGCTTGGCCGGACCTCATGCCGGGGTAGGTAGGGAGGGTAGGTAGGTCTGGGCCCTCCCACGCCGGAATTTTCACAGTAGAAAAAAGAAAATGTCCGCGGAATCACGATGTCAACCCTGCCCAACTGGGTGATCTGATGCTTGTAGGGCTTGAGAGTGGCCTGCCATATTCGATGCCATATCACACATAGGCTATGCAACAAACATAGGAAGGATCTCGTGTGTGTTCTATCGTGCTTCTCGTCTCGCCTCTCTCGAGCCACGAGCGAGGAGAGTCGAGTCGCGGTCCTCGTGTCGGCATCCCGATGGGGGTGATACTTGCGGGCGTGGATGACGCTTACGGCGGCCGGGGCACCACCCACTAGCTGCATGATCACCGGCCGGTCACCTGGTCACCGATCACCGGCCTAGGAGCTCAGCACTCCTTATTCAGGGGGTGATCGGTGATCGAAACGCGGCGGTGTAATAGATCGATGCTGCGGGAAAGGAAGCTGACCGGTTTTCGTGCATCTCCCGCTCTGAGACGCGAATGCTGACTCAAGCGGTTGGGGTCAGGCAGCGTGGAGTTGCCCGGGTCGTCTGCCATGCACGTGTGAATCGATGGATCGGCCATATCGACCCACAAGACAGCTGTGGCTTTCTCTTTACATGAAAACACGAAGCTCCCATATGGGAGCCGCAGCCGTTTGGGGTTTTAATGCGAGCTCCTCGCACGCCTTGGCCCCGGCCAGGCTAAGGACAAAGCGTCGGCCGCCGCACCCCGGCCGCACGTGCCATTCACCGCCGCCACAAAGACCTTGTGTTGTTCCAAAACGAAGCCCTCGCCTGTTCAGATTGACATGATGACATGTCGAGGTGTGCGCCATCGGTTTGGTGTCCAAGGGTCCGGATGAAGCTTCCCCACCCAGCTCCAGACAGCTCCGTCGGCGGTGATGTGGCGATATGCTGTCTTTATCTCCAGCCGAGACAGCGACGACGCGCTGGCCAGCCAAGGCCTCGACCTTCTTGGGAAGCAGCTGAGCCAGCTCGTCGCCGTGGCCCACCCAGCTGGCCACAACGAACGCCCATCGATCGCCCCAGCTCCATCCATCCATCCCAGACCGCGCCGTCGGCGGTGAGGGCGAGGCTGTGCCATGCTCCAGCCCACCCAAGGCCTTCTTGGGCAGCATCGAGCCTACATGTACAGGTAACTCCGGGGTGCCGCCAGGGTGCCAGTGCACGACGACGGCGAGCCGCCGTGAACGGGTCGTCTTTCGGCCGCCGCTCGGCACAGCTCGGCATCCGCAGTGCATCCTCGCTTGTAGCCGCTCGAGTGATACTCGACGCCGCAACGATGGCCGGCACTGAGGCGTGGAGCAAACTTCAACAGCACTATGACGCGGGCATGAAGACGCAGAAGATGCGCGACCTGTTCTCCAAGGACAGTGACCGCTTCGAGAGCTTCTCTGCGACGTTCGAGGACGTCCTGCTCGACTACTCCAAGAACATTGTGACGGAAGAGACGATGGTCGCCACCAGAGATGCCGCACTTATACACGCGCCGCCGCTCGCCCGCGCGCATCGCCGCCGCGTAAAATTCACAGCTGCACACGCCTCGGCGCTCGAACCAGCGATCAGCGCTCGCCGGCCGACCTGCCTCGCCGGCTCCTGACACCCGCCGCGCGCCCGTCCTGCAGACCCTGCTCAGCAAGCTGATCGATGAGGCGCCGACGCGCCTCTCTGCCCCCACCCCGCGCCCGTCGCGCCCACCGCCACCACTGCACACACAGCCGCCGGCAGCTGCCGCCTCCGCTGCCGCTGTGGACTCCGCTGCCGCTGCCGCCCTCTCGCCGGCGTCGCGCCGCCAGCACCCGCCACCGGCGGCCGCGATCGTCCCGCGGCGCCCTCCCCACCGCCCCGCGGCGGAGTGGCGCGCAGGCGCAGGTGAAGGAGATGGCCAAGGCGATGTTTGCGGGCGAGAAGATCAACCTGACCGAGGATCGGGCAGTGCTGCATGTGTGCTCTGCTCCTGCCGCCGCCCTCGCTGCCGCACGCACGCACACGCACACACACACACACACACACACACACACACACACACACACACACACACACACACACACACACACACACACACACACACACACACACACACACACACACACACACACACACCGCTCACCCGCCCACACACACACGCACACCTCACCCACGCGCCCGGCCTTGTACGTCTGCGTCTGCATCTGCATCTGCGTCTGCCCCCGCCCGGGCAGGTCGCGCTCCGGAACCGCGCCAACACGCCGATCTTGGTGGACGGAGTCGACGTGATGCCGGAGGTGAACGGCCGTATCTCCCCATACCTCCCCATACCTCCCCATATCTCCCCATATCTCCCCATACATGATGCCGGAGGTGAACGACCTGTTCGCCAAGCTCCGGCGCGAGGGCCCGTCCCTATACGGCTGGTCGGAGCTGCCCTGTAGGTGAACGCTACTACTACTGCTACTACTACCACCACACGACTATTACTACTACACCAGAGCGAGGGCCCGTCCCTATACGGCTGGTCGGAGCTGCCCTAGGTGAACGGCGTGCTCGCCAAGCTCGAGCCGTTCGTCAACAAGGCGTTAGCAGAGACCACAGTCTGCTGTTCAAAGCACATGCCAGCAGCCCACGCCCTCGGGGCACGCGCTGTAGCGTGGCGTCGTAGCTCGGCGTCGGTGAGGGGTGATGCTCCGGACCAGCGGCTTACCACTACGACTTTAACATTGCTGCTACTACTGCTTACTCACCACTGCTACTACTACACTGCCGCTTGCTTCTGTTCGACCCGTCGCTGAGTAGAGACCACAGCGCATGCCTTGCCTGGCGGCAAAATGCCGCGAAACGCAAGAGGACGCGGTGCAAGAGTGAGGCGTGGCCTGTCCTCGCCAGGTGCGTTCGGGCGAGTGGAAGGGGCACACCGGCCAGCCCACCTAGAAGCAGAATCTCTCCCCATCTCCCTGCGTACCTCCCCGTACCTCCCCGTATCTCCCCGTATCTCCCCGTATCTCGGGCCCGAGAAGAAAGGCGCACTCTTGCCTTCCAGCCCGCGCTCGAGAGGAGGCGCTCTTCAGCCGTGTTCGACCGTACTCCGCTGTCCTCATTGGACTCGCACCCCTCGCGGTATCCACGCGGTGCTCTGAACACACTGCGCAGTCCCCGCAGTCCCGCCCTGAGGTTGGCGTACTCAGCTCGCAGGCAAGCCCATCACGGACGTGGTCAACCTGGGCATCGGCGGGAGCGACCTCGGGCCGGCCACCTTAGAAGCGGAGCATTGTGTTCTTGTAGTCCAGCGAGAGCTCTCGAGAGAGCTCGAGAGGACACGTCCTCGGCTGATATACATGTATATAGGACTCGGCACCCCCGCCCTGAGGGTGGCGTATTCAGCACGTAGGCTTGTACGCCGCAGATTTGCTACCACACCACCCACGGGACTGAACCCAGACTGGAGTCCATCCTCTCTTGGTATGGTACGCGTAGGCCGGTGATGGTGACGGAGGCGCTCAAGCCGTACTCGAAGCGCGACCTCAAGGCGCGATCTAGCCGAGAACTAGCCGAGACGGAGTCGAGAGATAGTCAAGCCCTACTCGGGGCGCGACCTCAAGGTGCACTTTGTCTCAAACGTGGACGGCACGCACATCGCCGAGGTCACGAAGGCGTGCGACGCGGAGACGACGCGCTTCCTGATTGATTGATTGATTGATTGATTATTGATTATACTAATTAAGGCGCTCGACGCGGAGACGACGCTCTTCCTGATCGCATCCCTAGAAGCGGAAGACGCATTCTTACATCCCTGCCCGCGCTCGAGAGGACACGCACTCCGCTGGATTCAGCCGTATTCCGCTGTACTCACTGTCTCCGCCTATCCTCGTACTCACTCGGTGCTCTGAAGACTCTGCACGATACCGCCTTCCCGCCCTGAGGTTGGCGTACGCAGCGCGTAGGATCGCGTCCAAGACCTTCACGACGCAGGAGACGATGACCAACGCCAACTCGGCCAAGTCCTGGCTGCTGGCCGAGCTCGGGGGCGACAAGGCCCCCCCCCCACACACACACACACGAAACACACACACACACACACACACACACACACACACACACACACACACACACACACACACACACACACACACACACACACACACACAAGGCCGCCAGTCAGTCAGTCAGCCAGTCAGTCTGACACACGCCCTACCACCGAGGACGGGCCCACACTCCACACACACGCTGCCCGCGAGTGGTTCGGGAGCCGACACGAGGCGCACTGCCACCGGCCGTATAATCATTGGGTCCGGACTGCTGAGCGCAGGCCGCCATCGCGAAGCACTTCGCGGCGCTCTCCACCAACGGCAAGGCGGTGAAGGAGTTCGGCATCGACGAACAAAACAACATGTTTGGCTTCTGGGACTGGGTGGGCGGTCGGTACTCGTCCTGGTCGGCGATCGGAACTTCGATCGCCCTCTCGATCGGCTGGGAGAACTTCGTCGCCTTCCTCGAGGGGGCGCACGAGATGGACAAGCACTTCCTCGAGGCGGACTTCTCACCCGAGAAGGGCTTCAAGAACCTGCCGATGGTGCTGGCCGCGCTCGGCGTGTGGTCCTAGAACGTACTCAGCTGTCTCGCCGTACTCCACTGCATTCACTGTATTCGTAGCCCCTCGCACTGACGCGGTGCTCTGAACACGTTCATGTTGGCGTACTCAGCACGCAGGCGCGTGGTACGGCGCCTTCTTCAATCAGTGTTTAATGACTCATTATACTAGGTGAATTATGTTAAGAGGACGTTCGGTGGACCCAATTGCAGACAGATATACACAGTTGCAGTAGGACACAAAATCAAGAGCAGTAAACTCGAGTAGGATATAGTGTTGAATCTCGTCGGGTGTTAAGCATCTCTGCGACGCGCGACGGCAAGCACGTGGCGGTCGGCACGGGCCCGATCATCTGGGGCGAGCCGGGGACCAACGGGCAGGTGCACGCACTCCGCACTACGCACCCTCTCCCGCCCCGCCGCCGGAGAGCTCTTGTTTTTCGCCGCCGTGATCCCTGTTCACGCGCCGCCTCCCCTGTGCTTCCTTGTCGTTGAGCATGTAGCTTCAAGAGCAACTCATAGGCGTTAGGCGGAATAACACTTTCTGGCGCCGGTCGCGACGCAGGTGGTCACACCTCGCTCGAGTGAGATCTCGGGAGATCAGGGGAGATCACACCTCGCTCGAGTGAGAGATCTCGGCCCGCGAGATTGAGAGATCTCGGCCCGCGAGAGGGTTGGCTCTGCGACTGCCAACCCTCTCCCGAGATCGCCACAGAACGCCCCGTGTGCAATGCCCCGTGTGCTCCGCGAGCGCGTGTGCCCCGTCATCCGTGCGAGGACGTGTGTACGACTGACGGGCTGCTCACTTTGCTACGCAGAACCCGGACCCTCCCCTCCCCCCCCCTCCCCCTGACCCCCTCCCCTACCCCCCAGTACCCGAACCCTCCCCCTCACCTTGCGATGCAGAACCCCGACTTCCCCGAGCACCACCCGATCCTGCTCTCCAACTTCTTCGCGCAGACCGAGGCGCGTTGCTCATACCACCACCCACGGACCTGAACCCACACTGGGTTCGATACTCTGGAGGTATGGTACTAGGCGCTGATGAAGGGCAAGACGAAGCCCGAGGTCGAGGCGGAGCTCGAGGGCAAGATGGACGCCGACGAGATCAAAAAGCTCGCGCCGCACAAGGTGTCGAGAGTAGTGAGAGCATTAACTAATTCGTTGTCAACCATTCACGATTGATGACGGCGCTCGCGCCGCACAAGGTGTTCGAGGGCAACAAGCCGAGCAACTCGATCTTGTTCGACAAGCTGACGCCGCGCACGCTCGGCTCGCTGATCGCAATGTACGAGCACAAGATCTTTGTGCAGGGCGTCATCTGGAACATCAACTCCTTTGACCAGTGGGGCGTGCAGCTCGGCAAGGTGTGGACGCGAGTACACGAGATTGCCCGAGATTGCCCGAGATTACCCGCGCCTTTGACCCTTGGGGCGTGTAGCTCGGCAAGGTGGGCACACGCGCCGTCGTGCCCGCTCCTCCGCCGCAGGAGCTCGCAAACAAGATTCTGCCAGAGCTCAAGTCGGACGAGCCGGTGAGAGGCAGCCGAGAGACCGCCGAGAGACAGCCGAGAGACCGCCGAGAGACAGCCGAGAGGCCGCCGAGAGACAGCCGAGAGACCGCCGAGAGACCGCCGAGAGACCGCCGAGGTAGACATTGCCCGCTCGCCTCGACAGCGTTCCTCCTCCTCTGGCTCTGGTCCCGCCGCCCGCAGCGACGCTGCACGCGCCCCGCAGTGACACACACTCACACCGCTCACCCACGCGCACTGGGCCTTGCACTCTCAATGCCGAGGGGCTCCTGTCGTCCAGACGTGGAGACGCGAGGGATCGTCCGGCCCTTGCCCCACCACCTCGTGTGTGTGTGTGTGTGTGTGTGTGTGTGTGTGTGTGATTGTGGAGAGAGAGAGAGAGAGAGAGAGAGAGAGAGAGAGAGAGAGAGAGAGAGAGAGAGAGAGAGAGAGGTGTGCACCTGACCTGACCCGGCGGTGAGCAGGTGACGTCGCACGACTGCTCGACAAACGGCCTGATGAACCACTTCAAGGCGCGCTCGAAGGAGGTCAAGTAGTGCGGTCGGGGCCGAGCAGCCTAGCGGAGACGGCCCGAGGGGGTCGGCCGATCTTCAGCCCAGGCAGAGGAGGGGAGAGCGAGGCGGCCGCGCGGGGGCGGAGAGGCGGGGCTAGCGGGGCAGAAGGGTGGACCAGAGGGGAGAGCTGCAGGTGGGGAGGCGGGGTTGCTGGCTCGCCCATACGTGCCGAATGGCTGGCGGCCAGCAACCAGGTGCACGGATCTCGTGTCGACGCGAAGGGGTCGCGAGAGCGGCTGCAGAGCGTGCTGCAGAGCGAAGCATGGTAAGGTAAGGTAAACTTCCCAACACACAAAAGAGGTGGTGGGGCAACCCTCGCGACTCCACGTCTAGACGCGAGTCGTCGGACGTCGCGAGACAGCCGACAGGGCAACCATGGAAAAAGTGTGTCAGAAAAAGAAAGAAAGAGAACAAGCAACCCAAGGGAGGGATGGGAGGACGGCACGCCGCCACCACACAGGGATTTTAAGGAGATGAGTGTGGTGCTAGCCGTCGCCCAGTCAGAAAAAGAAAGAAAGAAAAAACGTCGGTGCGGGACCGAATCGATGGTCTCCTCCTTCCCATTTTTTCTTTTCTTTTGAGAGCAGGACGCCGGGTTTGTCTTGTATGTGCATGTCGGGCCTGGGTGTGTGTGAGGGGCAGAGGGGCGGGAGCGTGCGGGGCAGAGGCCCAACGTCGGGCGGCTTGTCGGGGTCCAGAGCATTCGAGGGGGGAACGAGGAGGGGGGAATGGGCGGTCGGCGTCGGGGTAGCAGCACCAGGGCGTACGGGGTAGCCGTCACTTTCCTGCCTCACAAGGGCGGGGCTGTCCCGGAAAGTGAGAGACGCCGGGCAGCGTGGCGCATTACTGAACCCTCCCATACGTGTTTGGGGTTCCTCCTTTGCTGTCCCATCCCCTCATCTCTTTCCCGCCTGGGCGGGGCGGTGGGCGGGCGCGCGGTGAGGTGTGGCGTGTGCGTGTGTGCGACTGCAACGAAGGACCGCTCACAGAGGACCATTGGGTTTGTACTATTAACAACGAAGGCGCTCTCAAAAAAAAAATCGATTGCGGGGTCAGGGTGACAAATCTTGGTTACCAGGCCTGGACGGACTCGCTTGCGTGGGCCACGACTGCTGCTCCCTGTCGAGCAGCGAACTCTTCGACGAACAAGAGAGCCTATGCGTGCGGTAAGCTTGCTCGCGGTCCTCCTGGCCTTTGCGGACGCACTCACATTTTCTGGCCACGCTCGTGGTAAGCTTGCAGCGCGACCGGCCATCGCCCGCCGCTCGACCACGCCCAAATTGGCCGACAGCGGCGGCGGCGATGACGGCAAAGTTGGCGGCGATGGCGGCGGCGGCGGCGGCGGCGGTGATGACGGCGGCGGCGGAGGCGGCGACGAAAGCGAGCCGTTCATCGGACGTGGCATCACTTGGTTCTTGGGCGCCAAGTCCGCCCTCACCCTCGTGAGCGGCCTGCCCGTGCTGCTCTCGCCCTCCTCCGTCCTCGACGACCTCGGCTTCCCGCTGATCACCAAGGCGCACGTGCTGAGCACAAAGATGTGGGGCGTGTGGCAGTGCTTCTTTCAATTCCTGCTCGAGTTCACCGTCGCCTTCTTCGTGCCGGCCGGCCTCACGCGCAACCTCCTCCTCCTCTGCGAGGGCATCTTCGAAATCGGCCTGGCGGTCGACGTGCATCACGACTTCACGACGGCCAACAGCGGCCGCTATTCTAAATCCATCCACGACGTCTACGTATGGTCGCCGCCCGTCTTCTTCGCCGTCCTCCTCCTCTTCCCCGACCCCGTCACGGACGTGGCCGCCCGGCTCCGCGCCTACACCACCGTCGGCCTTGTCTCCGCGTGCATCCTCGGCGCGCAGGTCGCGGGCTTGCAACTGGCGTCGACGAGCGACAAGAAGTAGGGATCCCTAGCGGAAGTTGCTAGTTGCTGCTTGTGCTTCACCTGGAGACCGTGCTTGCTGCTTATTTTATAGAGTATTACCTATTACAAGTTACCACCACATACTAGCACACCTTCGTACGTACGTAATTTTATCAACAGAAATACCGTCCGGAACTGTCGTGGACGATATTATACACTCAGAGAGAGAAGCTAAAAGTACACTCACACTCGAGGCGGCTCACATACCGCACACCGTTACATAGCCAATTCGCAGGACTTTGTCCGTTCCTCCTCCTTTCACTTTCTCCTCTACTTCTTGTTCTTCGCGCCCGTTGGCTCGAGACCGACGCCGTAGATGGTGCAGAACATGCCGCCGCACGCCGCCGCGAACGAGGTGAACATCACGCGCTGCACGGCGTCGTTGATGCACTGTTGGTGATCGTCGCCTGTCTTGTCGTCGCAGACCTCGAACATCTTGGTGAATGCCGTCACGCCAATGATCGCGCCGACTTTGCCGGCGGCGGCGGAGAGGCCGTTCAAGGTGCCGCGTATGGAGGGCTTGTACACCAGCGCGGACATCACGTAAGTAGTGGTGTTGGGGATCCAGTAGCTGCCGTACTGGATGTAGTAGATCACGAGCAGGATGCCGCTGGTGTTGTCGATCAGCGCCGGCCACAGGAGCCCAATCAGCAGGCAGCAGACCCCGCCGGAGAAAAAGCCCCAGAACTGCAGCCAGCGGACGCCGGCCCACGGGAAGAGCTGGATCGCGAACAGCACGACGAAAATGCCGACAATGTCGAGGCTGATGTTTTCCCACGCGTCGGCGGCCGTGTCGCCCGGAAGGATCAGGCCGAGGATCTTGCCCTGCAGCAGGTGATTGCCGTAGAAGGACCAGTCGAAGAAGAACCAGCCGCCGCCCGTGCCGAGCAGCTTCCGCCACACCAGCGGCTCCGACTTGACCGCTTCCCACAGGCCGGCCGAGGCGGTCGCCGAGGCCTTCCTGTGGCCGGCCGCCTCGGCGCGCGAGACCCGGGAGGTTGTCCACCGCGACAGCCGCTTCTGCTCCTTGACAGCGACCTCTTTGGGCTGCAGGTGCATGAAGACGCCCACGACGGCCGGCGCCACGGCGCCAAACATTAAGATGAAGCGCCAGGCAAACTGCGATCCGACGCGGCTTGCGGGCGGGGCCGACCACGGCTCCATGTCCGCGTACTCGCCGCACGTGTCTGCAGACGGGCGGGCGTCCGCGGGTGGAGGGGTGCCCGGGCGGGGGTGCGCAGAGGTTCCGTAGGCGCGGGCGCTCACAGTAAAAGACGAGGGCCCATGACCATGGCGCGATGGCGCCGAAGTTACGCCACAAGAAGGCCCACGCGACCGAGACGGACTTGTGGACGGGATCGACCGCGGCGCTGTCCTCGGCGGCCTTGGCCGCTGAGAGCGGGTAAACTCCCCCTGCGCCCACGCCGATGAAGGTGCGGACGGCGATGAGCAGGCAGTAGGTCGAGGCCTTGCTGCCCCACGGGACAATGCCCTGCAGCAGTGCGCCGGCAATCTGGATGTACTGGCAGACGAGCAGGCCTCGGTTGCGGCCAAAGAGGTCGCCGGCGGCGCCAAAGCTAATCATGCCGATGGCGGTGCCAATGAAGATGATCACCTTCAGGAGGAGGTCGTAGTTGCTGTCCTTCCCGTAGAGCGGGTGAAGCCACACCTCCGCTGGACCGATAGAGTCGTAGTTGTACTGGACGCCGAAATTGGCGACCGCAGTTGTGATCGTGGACGCCCAGAGCAGGAAGAAGTGGCCGCACGACTCCCTCGCGTCGGGATTCTTTGCGTCGAATTCCATCTCTTCATCACCCTCATCGTCTACCGTTAGCTCGCCGTCGGTGGTCACCTCGATCGCCTCGGCCGTCATATCCTTACATGCATGCGCTGGTTTCGTGGTTTGTGTGAGCCGTCGGCGAAACCACGCGGCTGCCAATCGCGGCGGTTGTTTGAGAAACACATCCGCCCGGCCCCACCAATCCGGGAGTGTCTTTGGCTCACGCCAGGGCGCTCGTTGCTCCTTCTCTTTGTATCTTCCATACTGCGTTTATCAGAGGGGACAGGGCTAAGTAGGGTATAAAGTATCCGTACGCCACAAATGGCTGGCTATACTGGGGTACATTAGGAAGTCAGCGCCATACTGCCATACCTGACAAGGACTCACACTGTGGTAGGGCCAGGTATCCGTACTGCTGTACTCGTGCCCAGTGCGCCCGGTACCCGGATACCGGCGTCCGGCCTCCTCGTACTGCAATACTGCGAGAGAGGCGGCACAATACTGCCATACCTCCCACATACAAGTGTCGAAGTATGGCGAAGTATGCATACTTCAATACCACAGACTTCGCCGCTTGTACGCGGATACTGCAGATACTGCAGATACTGCAGATACTGCAAGATACTGCAGATACTGCAGATACTGCAGATACTGCAGATACTTGCTGTCCTTTCTTGCTTGCAGCTCTGAGCCACGGTTTGGTGCAACATGATTGCGTCACCTGGTGGGTCGCGGCGACACACGCGCTCAGGAGTGCAAGCTTGAACTTTGCAGGCATTGGCCGCCGCTGCCGGTACAGTGCATCCTGGCAGAGCCAGCGCGGCGGCGGCAGATCTGGGCTGCGAGGGTGGTGCTGCCACACCCCACCCGCCTGTTGCCACAGACGACCCAGATACCGCGGATACTGCAGATACTGCAGATACTGCAGATACTGCAGATACTGCAGATACTGCAGATACTGCAGATACTGCAGATACTGGAGCGCGCCCTCGAGATACCTGGGTACTTGGGCGGGTTGCGGGACCACGTAAGGAGTGGTATCCCCGTACCCATACTTGCGGGTGCGACCGCCGCTACCTATGTACTTGAGACGAGCTGCAACATACTGCCATATGTGCGTCTCAACTACCCATACCGGCATACGTCTAGCTATGCGTCTACGAGGTATCTTTAAGTACCAGCGTATGCATACCTGGCGCAACAGCAGGATTTACCTGCCTACCCCGACGATGGAAATAGATACCCCGATACGTTCATACCTCACAAATAATAACAAGATGGTAGGCACAGCTCTCAATGAGAACGATGGGCTTGCCCATCCCGGAGTGGTTCGATCCCACATGAATCCGAGACGGTGATGGGAAGCGTCTCGATGATCTCAGACCCAGTGAGGCAGTGCGTCAGACTATCCCGGATCCTGCTGAGCAAGCTCCTCTTGTAGCTCGATCGGTCACACCGCCATCGCCGTCGGGGAGAGGGGGGACGACACTGCTTCGGCAGCGTGCACCTCGATCCTGTACCGTGTTTGTTATGACCCCCCCCAATGAACATACCAGTGAGGGAGGGCGAGACGATCGAGGGGTCCCGTACCACGCGGAATCGGCCCTATCCAGTGCTCAAGTGCTCAATAATACCCACTTGGCCCTCTGTCCCCAGAAGACCCAATCCCGTTCGGACTAGGGTTTTGCATGGCACGATGGCACGCGTTTGCTTGCCGCAGCCAGGCGTCTGCGAGCTATACCTGCCGAATAAGAGACGCTACTGTCGCTTCTCCGTCGTCGCAGGCTACCGCTACTGCACCCACCACCTCGCCGCACGCAGCGACGGCACCGCCGACCGGATCCCGTGTCCTCTCGATCCGGCGCACTCCATCTTCGCTCGCGACCTGAGGAGGCATCTGAAGGTGTGTCCGAAGGCCAAGGAAGCGGCGGCCGAAGCTTCGCTGCCCTGCTTCCGCCGCGATGTGAACGCCGGCGAGCAGCTGACGGCGCCGGGCGCTCCTCTGCCGGCCACCGCGCCAGCGCCAACACCCATCGCGGGCCTGCCTCTGCACGCTTCGCTCGCAGTGGCGAGTCGCGCCGAGCCGCCTCTCGGCCGCGTGTCTGCCGAGCGGGTGCGCGCCCTCCTGGCAACGGTCCGTCTCGCGCTCGGCGAGGAGGCTGTGCACGAGGGGCCGCCGCTGCCGCCGCCGCCGCCGCCGCCGCGTGCTGCGGCGGCGGAAGCGGAGGAGGAGGGAGGCGGCGAGGGGGGCAGGCGAGTGCGCGGCAAGGAGAAGCACGGCCTGCAGCACGAGGCGATGCTCGAGGTGCTCCGAGCCCTCCCTCCA